AGTGCTTCCTCCAAGATTCTGCTAGAAAATGGAGTTCCAAAGCCTTGAACCCCAATAGTGACCTGAAGATGTATATCTGCCATTGATTATAAAATTTGAAGCTTCAAAAATGGTGCAGATCTGGACGATCTGTGAAAACTTAAAATTGGACAGTTTAGATAATGTGTCACAAGATGAACTATCTTTAGGGCTTAAAATCTTTTTTGTTTTCTCAGATACATAACCATTGAGTTGGATATCATCAATTTCAAGGTTTTTTGGTGCCAGAAAAATCTTTTTATGGGATAATGGTTGTAGCCCTATATAAACGTTTCCCTACAACAACGTTTTCAAACCTGGCTCAGGCTCTGAACTCGGCCTTAGCCTGGCCAAGTTAGTTGGGCGAGTCCAAATTGACTCGCCTGAGGGTGAGCTGAATTTGAAAAACCATTCATTGTGTTGTTGCACATCCTTTCAAGTTTTCAACCAAGAGGCTGCTGTTCCCTGGAATTGTTTTCTTTTTCAAAGGGTCTTGCTATGTTACTAGCTATTAGCTCCATCCCATTTGCCAAAATCGTCCAGTGCTCAGATGAGGCATCCTTCGACCATTTGAACATTTTTAAAAGCTACTATTACTGCTGCTGCGGCTACCGCTCCTATTGCTAATGTACTACTACTGCTGCTGCTGCAACTCCTACTACTGCTGCTACTACTGCTATTGCTACTACGATTACTACTGCTGCTGCTACTAGTACTACTGTTGCTACCAGTTTTGCTACGGCTACTACTGCTATTATTATAAGTTTATCGATGGGTGGTTCAGAAGCTTTTTCTCTTACACGTGGAAAAATTGTATGGTGTTCAGGTCCCCTTCAAACATTTGAACATTTTTAAAATTATAATTATTGTTGTTATTAATATTATTATTATTATTATTATTATTATTATTATTATTATTATTATTATTATTATTATTATTATTAATTTATTGGAGGTTGGGTCAGCTGCTTTTTCCCTTAATCGAAGTTAACTTACCAAATGAGTCACGAAATGCTATAGTTCCTAAATATGATTTATTTATTTATTCAGAAGTAATTCATCGGGATCATGCACATGTGACTATTGTACCATTGTCAGCAGCTTTTCCCTTTCACAATTCGATTTTCTCACTCTTCACTCTTTAAATGCTATTCTTCTTGCCAAAAAATCCTAAGAAAAATATTTTGATAATACTATATACTCCAGTATTTTAGGGGGGTTTAGAGCTTGGCAAAGTAATTAGGGCGAGCGGATATTGTCTACCGATATTGTATTCTAATGGCTACAATGCAAAATGACAAAGTTGATGAAATCAATTTTGCATCCAAAACTCATAGTCAATACGATTACAGTGTATAACATAAACCACTGAACATTTTCAACTATTCTCATGGTTGTCCCACATTTTTGTTCCAATTGCATGCACAATTATAGACCAAAATCATGGTCAGCGCTACTTTAAGAACCTAACATCATTGGTTGAGCAATTTCATTGCCCTCATATGCTCCTGTCACGGCTGCAATCGCCTGAAATTTGAAATCCAACACAAGGAAAGAGTTCTCTGCTTTCATCATCAAGATAAAGTATTGCAATATACATCTGGCAACGATGATCTTGACCTCTATATTGAACAGATAGGCATAATGAGTCTTTAGGATCATGACATATGCTTTCCATATCCCAATGTGCATTCAACGACATTCCACATGTTGAGGAATGAGTGGCAATAAGTAAATAATCGGAAAATGTCATCTAACAGGTCCAATCCAAACTCTTACAAAATCATCAAGGGGATCGAAACATTCCAATTAACATTTTTTTTTTTTTCAAAGTGAACACTTCAATTAATGTCAGAAAGTTTACTTTTTAATTTTTATTTCACTCAGATAACTCCTGAAAAAATATTTTCAACAGTTCCCAAATAGTAGTTGTTCATGGCTAGGAACCTTGAACAAACAGGGGCATTTCAGTAACTAGACCCACCTCAGAGACCGCCACCAAATGATAAGAATACTATTGCTTGCTCAAAGTGCAATTTACTTCGGTTCTTTCATTGCCAAGAGAAATTCCTCAATCCCCCCAGGCTAAGAAGGAAAGACATGTTTACGAAGGGATAGGGTGCTTAACATACAAGGAAAGGCTTCCTCTTCTTCTTCTTCCACTTTTTCAGTTGTGAGTTAAGAGAACCCAAGCCACCATTGCTTAAACCAAAAGAATTAATATAAAATCGATATCGACCAAGCCAACCAAAAGCTCTCATCGCTGGATAACTAGGATGAAAACAACTTCGATGCCTAGATCCTGCCAGATCAGAGACCCGATGATGATCTCGACTTCAAGGAGTCCAGAATCCACGAGAGTTCAATTAAAGGTTTGACCAAGAAGTCCAAGGCCATAGTTGAGGAAACAATGGATGTCAACAAAGCAAACAAGGAAGAACCTAAGATGACTAAGATAGGATCCTTTCTCTCTCTCTCAAGAAATGTGAAAAGATGGTCACATCATTTCTATGGGAGTACAGAGACATCTTTACACGACCTTATAGTGACATGTCTGGCTGGATTCCAATTTGGCCCACCATGACTTGGTTCCACTCCCCAAAGCTACTCCAGATCAACAGGAACTTTGGAAGCAGCCCCTCTGCATTGTTCCCAAAATCAAGAAGTTGGGCAAGCTACTCAGGATTGGATTTATAGTTCCAATAGACTAATCCAATTGGCAAGACAATATTGTTGTGGTCGCAAAGAAAGATAGACACATAAGAGTTTGTATCAATTACGGAGATCTCAACAAGGTGTGCCCCAAAGAGAACTTTCCTCTTCCTAACATCGATATGTTGGTCATCAAGCATGAGTCCTCAATGGACTGCTTCTCTAGATACAACAAAATAAAGATGGCAACAGAATATTAGATGAACACCGTGTTTACCATGCAATGGGAAACATATTGCTACAAGTCATGCTTTTCAACCTCAAAAATGCTGACGCAACCTAGCAGTGCACAATGAGAACATTCTTTCATGATATGAAGCATGAAATCATGGAAGATTACATGGACAATATTCCTCATCAAATCTGACTTCCAGACTGAGAGTCAATAGGAGGTATAATGCAAAGCTGATAAGGACATACTAATCAATGTATTCCTAGATCAAAGTGGGAGTTTAAAGAATTCGTTAGGTTGCAGCTCAGACCTCGCTAGCCCTTCGTGCAGGAGCAAACCTCTTCAAGGCCGCCTGGAAGAAATCCATATGATATTTTGACAGAAAGGCTTGACTGTTCAGGAATGGATCCCATTCCTGTGTTCGTGACCACCAGTACACCTTTTCTTTCATGATACACAAGTTTCAGTGCTCGAGAAAAATGGTCGAAGCAAAATATAATCCTGAGAAAGCCAAATCACAAATAAACATCAAGAAACACATTCCATTGGCATGCTGATATGCAACTCAGTGATCTAAAGTAGGGGGAACCATTAGATCAGATTTTGAAAGGGTTGATGCCTTAAAAACAAAATCTCATGCCACAATTTAAGTTATGGATGATCTTCCTTATGTTGGAATAACCAGTAGATATGTCATTCCTCTAGGATCATATGGAATATGCAATGTTCTAAAACTTAGCCAAGTAACTTGGATTCGGTACCCTACCGAGGCGAGTTTCAGAGCCCAACTTGGCCTTCTTAAGTACTGCAAAAGAATCACTAATACAGGATTTACAGATTTGTTTCTAAATGAACCTTATGGTTTTTATGCTGATTTGTGAACTTTTCTTCTTCTATGCTCTAATTTTTTATTTTCCTTTTTTATGATTTGAAATATTTTGAGCTATAAACCAATTTTTTTAGTAGTCCATCTTCTATACACTTTTTTCATCTTTTATAGACCTTTAATAACTTCTATTACTGATTTTAATTGTGGCTGATTTCTAATTATTTTAACAATTTTTTACAATTTTTGGGCCAGTTTTGTTCTTGTATAGAGTCCTAGTCCCAAGCAGAGTTATAGACCTTGAGAATATGTATAACATTATGCACAAATTACTCAGAATTCAACCACAATGAACAGGCAACCACAGCTCCACATAGAGATCCAGTTGACCTGAAAAACTTGCAAGCCCTTCGATGTAAAAAATCTATAAACAAAAAAAAATAAAGAAAAGGGTAAAAGATTACAGAAAAGCATCAGCATCCCTTTTATCAACAGTAGGTCCACAGCTTTGGTGAAAATAGATAAGGAGGTAAGAAAGGCATACCTTTCTTTCAAGGCTCCAACTTGTGCAAAACAAAAGGAATCATCATGGATCAGGAATTTGAGAAGAAAATGAACACCCACCAAATAATACATTAAAAATAAATTATCAAGTTTTTACTAAATAGCAATAGGTAAAAATTTGAAAAATGCAGATCAAATGAAAATTTATGAAACTTATCTGACGAGCATGAAAACGAACATAGCATTTGTACTCTATATATTGGCTCGCATTAGATTCATGACATCGCCACCCAGCACTAAATGCAGATAGTTAAACAAAAATCATCATCATCATAGCCTTTTCCCAAACTATTTGGGGTCGGCTGATAGTTAAACACAAATCTCAAACTAAAAACAAATTTCAAATTTTAAATAAAAATGCAGAAAATGTTTACATATACCATGGTCGTGAGCATCCATGGATTTCACTTGAATGAACTGAAGCAGAAACAGAGAAAATTTATGAGTACCAATGGTCAGGGACAGTATGAAACCATAGTAATTTTAATGGCTAGATGTAAAATCTTTAGAGAAAAGAAAAAGGTTCATGCGTGAATTCTTAGCAAAAAAGAAATAAAAAAACCAAAACAAAGAAGAAGAATGCCACAGCTGGGTCAGAAAGGCACTTGCAAAAACTTACCAGCAAACATCAGATTAACACAAGCCACTTTTATAAACACAAAAAAGGTATGATAAAAGTAAGGAATCACATACATTAACAAGAAAAAAGAATACAAAAAGAAAAGAACCTTCTCAACATTCATCAAAATTAAAGCCAGGAAACAACTTCCAATTACATCCATCTCAACCACACAAAAGACCCAATTCATAATAGACCAGAGATTACAATTAAGCTACCAAATTGGCAGCAAACTACAACTACCAGTTCAAAACACCCTACATAGACAGATGTCAATCTAGGCCTGCTCAGCAGACTCGAGCGGAAGGTCGAGCTCCTGGGGCACATCCACCTTGGGTTTGGGGGCATTCCTAGCTACTACAGCCACTGCAACAAAAGTCTTGGTCTTGCTAATGGGCCTGCTCTTCTCAAGCTGAACAAAGTCACCAACCTTGAACTGGTTAAGTGGGTCATGAGCCTGATACTTCTTCTTCTTCCTAACCCTCCTCTTGTACTTTGGGTGAGGAGCCAACCTCACCACCTCAACAGCCACTGTCTTATCACTGGTGGAGCAGACAACCCTACCCAGCATCTTCTTCATGGCCTCAACTCTGAGAAATGGGAATGGAGGGGGGGCTGTAGCTGCTCTGTGAGAAGGGGTGGGGAGGGTGATTGAGGAAGAGCCATTGAGAAATGGGGATAAGTTTTTGTTCTTGGAGATGGATAAGTTTGCAAAAGAGGTTTGCAGAGGGTGAGAAGAGAGGACCATCATTTTTTGTTAGAGAGAAGGAATGAGGATGAGGCAGGGAGAATAAAAGGTCCTTTTGGATAGGAGAGTGGAGATGAATTTCTTCGGTGGAGTTGGATTTCCAAGTTACGCTTTTTACGGTCTTCTAACACCTCACAATTTCTTATCCGGATCGCCTGTGGGTGGGAATTGTTCCGAACCGGCGATATTGGCTCGGGAATTATCCCCCCATTTTTTATATTTTTTAATTGCTCTGAACTGGCCATACAAGTTTGTAACCACCTTGTATTAAAGGTAAACGGTCTCATTATATTATCCCCCATGTTTTATATTTTTGAATTATTCGAAACTGGCGATACAAGTTTGTGACCACCTTGTATTAAAGGTAAACGGTCTCATTATATACAATCCATCTATATATTAGTTGGGTGTGGTTTTTATAAGATTGCGATCTTAAACAATCCAATTAAGACGTACCTCCAAATTTTATCACAACATGTTATTTTGGCGTAAATAATTTTTAGAATTATTTGAAAATCTATTTTCATATTTAATTATAAAATTTTAAACTCGATGTTGAAACTTTTCATATCTAACGCATGAAAATCTTGAAAATGGACGATCTAGAAAATGCGTTGCAAGATACACTATTTTTGGGATTCAAAATATTTTTTTTCTTTTTTTTTTTCTTCATATTCATCATCTCGATGTTGAAATGATCAATTAGAGGGTTTTTCAACATTAAAACAACATTTTTCCGATAGATTTTTGTGGTACATCTTTAATTCAACATTTATAAGGTTGATATGAACTTTTTCTTTAACATAATATTTATACGTATGAATACCTTAACGTAGCCTTTTTTTTTTTTAAAGCTTATTCAATATTTTTTAGATCAATTTTAAGCCCCACCTTCATAAAACTTTTACTTTAATTTTAATTTATTTTTAATATTTTTGGACCACTGATTTAGATGGATTTGGATCTGATCGGAATCGTCTATCAAACAATTGACACGGATCTATAGTAGAATGATCCACCCCACCACCCACCTCCTGAAGTTCTCAAATACAGCTTTTTAACTCCACCCTTTCCTTTTTAAGGACTTAGAAACTCTTCACTGCCTACTTTACGTGCCATGGGATAAAATAATATTGACAAATACTATTCAATTTTTGAGGTTCAAAGCGTTTAAGAAGTTGAAATCTAAAAATTTTCAGGGAAAATACTCACCGGTGATTAGGTAGTATTAATAAAGGGAGAATGATCTTATGTCACAGTGAAATATAATGAAACTCTACTTCAAGAAAACTATATGGAATTTGTTTGACTTTAAATTTTACATGCAAACTCTCTTCATTCTAATAATCAATCCTGAAAGAAATATTTTAGTACTCTCTATTTTTTGTTTTCGTATCTTAATAGATCCAAAGATTTAAAATATATTTTTTAACCCTTAACTAACTTTACCCACTTTTAACTATTTTTTTGGCCCTAACAAATATAAAAAAATTATGCTCATTCTAAACCCTTCCTCTCTTTACGAGATACATTCCCCCAAAATTTCTCTCTCTCTAACATTCACCCTCTTTGTCTCTCTAATCAGGGAGAGAAAGAGTGAGAGATACTGAGAGAGAGTGCGAAAATAGGTAAAAAGAGAAATTTAAAGGAAAATCATGTGAAGAAAGAGAAATGACGATATTTAAAAATGATATGTCTTTTTTATATTTGTTTGGGGCAAAAAAATAGATTTAAAAAGGATAAAGTTAACTTAAAAGGTTAAAAGATATAAAACTTAGAATTGATATGACCCAAGATATATTTTGAAACTTTGGATGTTTTGATATATAAAACTGAAAAATGATGGGTATGAACGTATTTTTCCTACAGTCAAAATGATCCCCCTCTAATAATAAATCTAGACCATCCATTTGATGAATTTCAAAATTTAGGCCTTTACAAATTTAAAATTAAATTTTTTTTTTAAAGTTGTTAATCTAATGATAAAAAAACTATCCCAAAATTTGGAAAGGAAAAAAAAAATCCTCTTATAACTTAGATTTAAGCATCTCACTCATAGTTAGCAAGTCTCCATTTAAAACACAATTATTTTCTAAAAATCTCTGATTTTTTTGAAATCCGTTAAGAACCATGAGTTTTTCCAAAGATCTTTAAAAAATCATACTTTTTCAATGGAACCGATATAAACCCGCATTTTATCTTTTTTTCAAAAAATTCTTCCCTATAATTTATTTCTTTATCAACTTAATATTATTGAATTTTGGTTTAAAGATACGAACATTAAAAGTGAGAGTAAATTAAGAATCTTGACTTAACAAAATAATCCATCAAAAATTTCACAAATGAGTTCCCTTAAAAAATATTTACAAAAAAATACAAGCAATATATTCCCCCAAAAAAAATTAATCAGCACAATCATATATCTCAAAATCAAATAAGTAGAATTAAAAAGAAGAGTAACCCCATGAAAAGTATTTTTTCCTTTAAACCAATGGCATCACTATAAAGAGCAAGAGAGAGATTCAATGATAATAAAAATTTAGATAGCTAAGAATTCAATGTGATTCGAATTTGCTGAAGCATTTTGCTGTTTTTTTTATATATAGAAAAGTTCGATTAATCTCATGTTTGATTTTCTTCTTTTATTAGTGTATACAACATACATTTTGGATGGACCACTATTTTACATATTTAAGTCTTTGCATTTTCTTTTAATTAACTGCAATCCTATATTTGAGGGTATTTTCTTGTTTTTTTTCTTTGAAAACTAATCTTATACCTTGGTTCACAGTTTTTGTTATTTGGTAATTAGTTTGTACATATGATACCGTTGTTGTTGTTTCATTTTATGCCTCAAATTAATCTAAGATATATTTTGTGTTGTGACAATAGAGTAAGCATTGTTGCTGGATTTATTGAAAGTTTCAACAAAAAGTTGTCACGTATTACTCTAATGACACTAGTAAGGCTATAAAATTACTGTTTAATGACTTTAATATATCTATATAATAGCTGCAAATCATAATCCTATATAGTATCATCTTTACACATTCGGTTTTTTCACTATATTTTTTTAACCAAATCCAAAATATTCATGATTCTATCTTACCCTATTTTTTGGCGATCCGTATTTTTACCCAACTTTTTCCTATGACTTTTTGAAATAAAATTTATTTATTACCGATGTTTGGGTCGGTCGATATTTTATTATTTCCCAATTTGCTAACTATGATCTCACTATAGACATCCTATATTAATTGGGCTAAATAAACACTTTGAAGTATGTGTTTTCAATTTTGTTATTCTTTATTGAAATGAAAAGAATGTACATTAAAAAATAAGGCCAAATAAATAGCTCTAACATGGTTCCTGAATATATTATTCATTATATTATTATAGAATGTTGCATGAAATCACTCCGCTTCATAAAATAGATTATGAAATTTCACATTGACAAAGCTCTACTAAGCATAAGATGACCTGAAGGGTACCATGTGCTCTCTCGGGAGATCTTTATATTGAAGAAATGCATGATAACCAAGGTGTGATATGAAGCGGTTCTATTCCCACCACTTACACACCACTCCACTACTACTTTCAAAAAGCTAACTCCTGATCTACTTGAAAAAACACATAGGTGCATGTCTGTCCTACTGAATTACCCAAAAAATGTGCGATATAAAGTGCACGAGGCTTCCTCGATATGAGATATGAAAGGTTAGGATATATGTAGTAAACATAAAAAAAAAAAAAGACCTTCAAAATCTAACATAGATGGTGCAAAGGAGTTCAAGAAAAAATACTTCAAATCTTTTTTTTTTTAACATTCATGAACAAGGACCCTAAAATTTGGATCCAAAATCCATCATTAAGATGGATGCTAGAGGAGGACGCAAATGAATGTAGAATCAAACATACTCATAGAAATCCCAACCATATTTAAAATTGAACAAATTTACGTATGGGCAAGACTATTTTTGTGGAATAGAAAAGAAAAAGGGTTCAAAAAAATTACAGAAATTTATGTCAAGGTCCAACTTTTTTGATTTTTTTAATCCTGAAATTACCCGAGTTAAATGTTAAGAACCTCATACCACTTGAGCAGTCCAATGTTGCTCCTTTCAAACAGCTCTTTTAGGTACAAAGGGCACCTAATGGCTGGTTTGAAAGTTCAATTCTAAGCAATTCACTATTTCTACTTTTGGACTGCCCCATCTTTCTATGTTTTGAGGTCCATCCGAAGTCAGAAATCTCGAACGGAAAGCACACTTAGTTCTGTTTATTTTTCCTTTTCCCTTGACTTTTAAATGGCATCCAGCTGCAATCCAAATGGCTGAAATCGAAACAACAACAATTCAAACAGTTTGTTTTCACTCGGGAAGTCATAATTCAAACCGGAATGTTATTCCAACCAAGGAAAGTTATTTTCAGGCCCTCAATTGTCTTCTTCCCAAACCCAGACTTCGTAAGAATCCCCCTGTGGCATGGAAGTGCTCTTGGTACACGGGAAAGGTGGAGATTACCCTATCTCAAATGTGCATAACACCTCAATGTCGCAAAACCACTCTTTTTTTTTTTGCATACTTTGTTGATTGTCCCTGAAGAATGGCTGTCATTGATCTCTCAGGTTCCTCATCGGATCACTAGTATGGGATATGTTTTCTTGTTGATAGATGATTGTTAAGTTGTTTCTGATGGATCCTTAACTATTTGATTTATGTCTTTTTTATGGTCCATTGTTTGGAGTAAACTGTGTATTCTTATCTATATCTGAAAGGTAAATGGCATTCTCTTTTGATGGATCAAGGAATGGAATATTATATTGTTTTTTATGCTTTGTCTTGAATCACTTTTAGATTACTCTAAATTTGTGTTATTGTAAAATTGGTGAATTTAATATGTTAATATCCAAGTTACATGAGTCAAATATATATAGAGTAAGTCAAGAAATTGTGATTTGGCATACCAAATTCATAAATTTCGATTAACAGATCTATAAGTTCCAAGTACATCTAATAAGTGAAACTATAAAGATGGTTTGAAA